TGATAACCAACAAGGACCTACTGTATAGCACAGGGAACTCTGCTCAATATTCTGTAATAACCTAAACGGGAAAAGAATTTGAAAAAGAATAGATACATGTATATGTAAAACTGAATCCCTTTGCTTACACCTGAAACTAACACAACATTGTTAATCAACTATGCTCCAATGTAAAATAAAATTTTTTAAAAAATTCAAATGAACAGAAGGTTAGTGATTATCACACATACCACTCCCTGCCTTCCTTAATCCTAGTCTTCAGCAGGCACTAGTGCCTTTAAAGTCAAAAACTCATAAATAATCACTACTCTTTATGGAATATGGAATTAATCTCGCTGCCTCATGCCTGATATTTGGTATGCTAGAATTAGGTGCTTCATTCACCTTGAAAGTATTAAAATAATTTGTATTTCCCTAGGACCAAATGATTTTGATTAATCACATACACTGAGGCTCAGGAATTGTAACATATTCAGAGAATTCCAAAGAAAATGCCTCAAAACCCTGCAGTATTTTTAATTAATTAACTATTTCAACAAATATTTATTGAGTGCCCATCATGGACTCATCACCACTCTGAATGGTAAGATACTGTGATGAGTAAGACTAAATCCCTACCATTTGGAACAAAGTCAAGTGGGAGTGACAGACAATAACAAGTAAAGAAACATGTAATATGATACCAGGTAATGATACATGAAAAAAATAGAGATGGGGTAGGGTGAGTGAGTGGATGATTATTTTACTTAGAGTGGTCAGAGAAGGCCCCTCTAAGGAGGTAACAGCTGAGTAGAGACCTGAATGGTGTGAATGAATGAACCCCAAGAAAATCCGGAGAAGAGCATTCCCATCAGACAGAAGAATAATTGTGGTGCTACTGCTAACTGTGCTGATTATACAATAACCACTCCTGATACTACCCTGTCACAACAGAACCTGAATTCTGCTTGTAACAGCAAGGTATACAGCCCCAAATGATGAATCATTATTGGCAACCCCATTCCATTTTGCCAAATGCTAGTTTTCTCATTCTCCTTTGAAGCTAAACATGGTCATGTAAACTAATTCTAGTCAATGGGACATAAAATCTGCTGGAGGATTATTGGGTAAATTTCTGTTTCTTTGTAGAAATAAAAGGGGGCAAGTGCAAAAGAAAACTTGAATGTTCTACCCCCTGCCTTGATCTACAAATGATGCCTAGGACTGAAGCAAACATCCGGTAATAATGAAGTAACAAGCAGACTGTGAAAAGGAGGAAAGATAAGAAAGAGCCTGGTTCCTGGGTCCTTAATGACACTGTTAAGCCACTAAACCAATGCCAGGAATCCCTACCTCATGACTTCATTGGTCAGGTTCCAATGGCATTGCCAGTTAAATGTAGTTTCAAAGTCAAGATCACAAGGCCATAAGAACTGTGGTTAACACTTCAAAAATATTTAAGGTAGTATCTTACAGACCCACGTGACTAGACAAAAAATATCCTAAGTGTCTTAGGGTGGCCTCTTAGACCCTCTCTGCTAGACCAGAGAGCTTCTAAGATTCTAAAGGATATTGTGCTACAGCACCTCGACTATCAGTCAAAAGTAAACGGGGGCATGTTTTAAAGATATTTAGGGGTGTAACATTTGGCTAAGGTCATAATTTGATACCCAGGAAACCCGCAAAATCTCTAAGATAATCATAGTATCTTGGACTGAAAGGAACAGAGACAATTTAAAATGCAAAGAGGTTTCTGAATTCTTAACTTTCTACAGATAAGACATAGGCTGCAAAGCTACTCAGCTACAAATATAAACTCTTTCTTACGGAAAAAGAAAGATTCTCAGAGGGCAGAGCCAGAAGCTTCAGAATTACTATGGCTCACTGACTGCTATATGCTTCTCTTTACCCTTCCTTCACCTTTGGAATGTAAGTGCCTGTTGTTATCCTATTTCTGATTCACCATTGTATGTATGTAGTGGACAGATAACTGGTCTCTTCAATTCACAGGTCTTAAGATTGAGAGAAGCCACGCTCAAGAAGCTTCATCTACCTGGATCTGATTTAGATGATGAAATTCTGTACTTAAGCTTGAGCCTAATGCAGTAATGGCATGAAACTAAGAATTTTGGAAGCAGAGTAAGTGTATTTTGCTTTTGGGAGAGAAATTACTTGGAGCTAGAGATGGTTAATCTGTGGATGACCCCCAATGAACAACACCTTCCAAAATTCATGCTCTTATGTAGTCCCCTCCCATATTGGGTCAGGGCTGAGCCTGGGACCTACTTTAACTAACAGAATGGAGTGAAAGTGACCCTATGCTAGTACAAAGCCTAAGTCTTAAGAGTACCTGAAGCTTCTGTTTTTGTATATTGGAAGCCCTGAGCTGCCACATAAAAAGTTCAGTTGCCCTGCTAGAAAGACCACATAGAGAGACCATATGAAGAGTTTGCATGGACAGGGGGAAGAATAATCCCTAAGATTACAGAGAGAGAAACTGAGACACAGAGAGAGAGAGAGAAGTTGAGAGACAGGGAGAGAAACAGGTACATCAAACCAGATGTCCATGCATCCCAATTGAGCCCAGACCTACGGCTGTTTCCATCAGGGTATAAAACACATAAGTGAGCCATAATGAGTGTTCCAGCCCAGTCAAGCTCCTAGATGACTACAGGACCAGCCAACATCAAGTGGAGCAAAACAACTACCTACCTAAGCGAAGTCAACCCATAGAATCTTGAGAAATAATAAAATGGCTATTTTAAGCCACTAAATTTTGGAGTGGTTTGTTATGGAGCAATAAATAATTCACTTATGAAATGAAAACTGAATATTTTGGAAGTCAGATTCAATAAAGAAATTAAAAGGCAAACCACAAAAACTATGAAAAAGTATGTGCCATGAATATACAAGGTTATTATCTTTATAATAAAAAGAGCTCATTATAAAACCTAAACAACACCACCAAAAACTCAACAGAAAAAATGGACAGTCTACTCATCTACTCATAGGGAAAATCAAAATGGCTAATAAGCATGAAAATGTTTTAATCATTATTTAAAATATCATTAATACTCAAATATCACTGGTCAGAATATAAAGTGGCACAATCTTTCAGGAGAGCAATTTGTCAACATGCTATTTCTATAAATATATGAGGAGATAATCACAGACACAAATAAATAGGTAAAAGAATATTAATTTCAAGCTTAATGTCCAAAAATATAGAAACTATTTTAAATTACTGAATATCAATATTTGAGGCTATCCTGCACCTTGCAAATTTTAAAGAAAATTGAGGTAACATGCTTATGATATAATATCAAGTTTTAAAAAGCATAATATAAAATTATACATATATAGTTTGATCCAAGTTTTTAAAAATAAATAAGAGATATACATATGTGGGCTTCCCTGGTGGCGCAGTGGTTGAGAATTTGTCTGCTAATGCAGGGGACACAGGTTCAAGCCCTGGTCTGGGAGGATCCCACATGCCACAGAGCAACTAGGCCCGTGAGCCACAACTACTGAGCCTGCGCGTCTGGAGCCTGTGCTCCGCAACAAGAGAGGCCGCGATAGTGAGAGGCCCGTGCACCGCGATGAAGAGTGGCCCCCGCTTGCCACAACTAGAGAAAGCCCTTGCACAGAAACGAAGACCCAACACAGCAAAAATAAATAAATTAATTAATAAACTCCTACCCCCAACATCTTCTTTAAAAAAAAAAGAGAGATATACATATGTTAATAACAAAGACTGAAAGGAAATAAAATTATTAAATGTGGCAGTAGAATTATAACTACTTTTATTTTCTTTTTTATACTTCTATTTTCTAAATTTCCTATAATGACTGTGTATTACTTTCACATTCAGTAAAAACAAGAATGTTTTTCTTTTTAAGTTACATTGCTTAGCGTATTGATCTAGGTAATTAGGAATAATTCCCCAACTTGAGATATTTAATAAAATTATATCTTTTGGAATTTGGAAAGGAATTTAGAAATGACCTAGTATAAACTACCATTCAGTAGATGAGAAAATAGGCCTAGGGATTCAGGTGCACAAGCTTGCTGATGTATTTAGAGGCAGAGCCATACTTAGAACTCAGATTGTTTTCCCACTGACCAATACACATTTTTACACTGCTTTATGATAGTGACTCAAACAAGATGTAAAGATCTAAGTAGAATAACTGTCATTTTAAGAAATGCTTTTCCCTGGTGTACCTTTAAATTTTCAGATCATTCTCTTTTTTTTTTTTTGGTACGTGGACCTCTCACTGTTGTGGCCTCTCCCGTTGCGGAGCACAGGCTCTGGACGCACAGGCTCAGCGGCCGTGGCTCACGGGCCCAGCTGCTCCGCAGCACGTGGGATCTTCCCGGACCAGGGCACGAACCCGTGTCCCCTGCATTGGCAGGCGGACTCTCAACCACTGCGCCACCAGGGAAGCCCCATTCTCATTTTAAACTATAAAACTGTTTGTAACAGGGGCACATATGCTATTTCCTATAACAGTTTCATTAAAAATTTCCACTGAAATAACCTCTCGGGCTTTCCTTTGAATTTAGATTTTGCTACCATTGTTATATTTTCAGCTGAATCACATCAAACCATGAGACTGGTTTGTATTACTGGTTTCTCAGATCACTTTGCTTTTCCTTCAAAGGTTTTTTTCCTCCTTACTTGATGAGTATTAGTAGGGTGGGAATAGTTAATATACTTAGACACACTTCTACTTGGAGACATTTGTATTTTCAATTTATTTATTTTTTATTAATGAATTCTTTCGTTTTTCTTAGTCTTATACTTCTAATACGAGGGCACATACCTTTAGTTCAAGGTCTTCCTTTGGATCGTGACTTTGAAAACTACCTTTTGATTTTGAATCTGGGGAAACTAAGCTTGTGCTCTTCCTTCAAGCTAAGCTCACATTGTTGCTTTGCCACCTAATTTCTGTTGGAGATAAATTTAAGTTCCTCCTCTTTATTCTACCTGGATTTATATGGATATTTTTCAACTTTACCTCTGATGGAGATGAGTCAGTTTTTAAAAGGCTTGGATATCTATCTTTCATTTTTTCTTCTGGTGGGAAGAACAGATTTTTCATTTTTCTCTCCGGCATAGCCTCTTGCTGGTGTTCCTCTAAAGGTGGTATTTCGTCCTCTTCTGCTAACGTCAGCCTAGGAATAGTGGGCAATGGAGTATCTGTTTCCTTTGTTGACATGTCACTTTTAGGAGCAACAACATTTGAATCATCTTCACCCGACTGGTTCAAAGTTGGCAGAGTCAGGCCTTTCTTATCATCATTATCCAGTAACTAGAAAATGTATCAATAAGACAAGCTACCTATTAATCATTATCAACTAGAAAATATTTAAAACAAAATCGGACTTAACATCATTTGTACTTTTATCCTTTATTATAACAAGTTACCATCAATATTTGTAAATTATTACATTCCTTATTAGAAGAGTTGAGAAATTCTCTACTTGCCTGATACCATGGACTATAGGATATTATCCATAAAAATGATCATACTGCATTATAAACTAGTGGTTCTCATATATTCATATTGTATAAATCATCAGCATCTCAGAGAAGAAAACCAAGGGGTCTGACATTTTACTGTTACTATACTATCACCAATATACCATAACAAAGGAAACTTTAATAGCAAAATAGCACAAAGAACAATATCATAAAAATCACAATAATATGGTAAAATAAAGGAAATTTAAATAGCAAAATAGTACAAAGAATAGTATCATAAAAGAAAGGACTGTTAAGTCTGTTAAGCCAAGTAAGTTTAGCTGTATGAGAAATTCTCTATATTGTCTTTTTTTCTCTCTCTTTGGATTGTGCAAAACAGAACATACTGACTCTTCAATTGGTATTTTGGGAGCCACTGGCCCAAGAATAGAAATCATTAAATCCTATTTGTCAAGCAGTATGGAATAATCTTTTATATTTTATTGGTTTACATAGGGGTCCACTGCCTTATGGAATTAATACCTTCTGTAAAAGCTAAAAAGCAAATAATATTATGTGAACTCTATTTCTATTTATAAAATACAGACTATTACTTTGGAGATTATACATTACAGAGAATACACAGCTGTATTATAGAGAAAAAGTAAAGAATGTAGTTAGGTCTGTGGCATCCATTTCTAAGTGCAGAACTTTATGCTTTCTTTTACTTGTTTCCCCCCTTCTGTTCATAAACACCTTTTGTCCCCTATATTCATATGTACTTTAAAATGTTACTATTTGATACTGAAACTTCCCTTTTAATAGCGTAATTTAAATTAAATGAATCGTGTAACACTGTACAGATATTGTTGTAACAGAAATAACCATGAAAACTTGAATAACTTCTTGAGTGCTTTCTTCTTTCCATCTATAAATATTTCTCCATTTACAAATATTTCATCCCTTTATAAAATAGTAACTATTCAAAGTTCTCTTTCAAGTTCCCTTACCTCACTTGGAAGAGTTTCAGCTTCTTCCTTTATAAGAAGGATATCTGTTAAGAAATTCATAGAAGTATTTTATTATATATAAAAATAAACATTATTTATATGCATTAATAAAATAGTACAGTTTTTCTCACCAAGAATAAGAGCAATTTAAATCAAAGCAGTTATTCAAACATAAACACTACATATTTAGTAAAAACAGGCTGATGAATCTCTGGGAAGATGGAGGAGTAAATGAACAAGTGTGGAGATGAAGTGAAAACATGTATAAAATGATAAGATTTCAGATCCCTCAATATAAGACATAAAAACAGGCATGTATTATATTTTACTAAAAGTCAAGAGGAAATAAAAATAAATCCCAGATGGTCAGTGATAAGGTTGGGATTGGAAAAAAAGAGTAAAGTTGTATGTAACCAGAAAAAATAGGACCATTCAAGAGAGGCTAACTGAAGCACTTGTAAAGTTTTCCTAGAAATATAAAGAATACGTATTTAGCAAACAAAAAAGAAAATTCTAAAAGGGAAAGGGAATAAATAATTGAGATACAAAGGGATGCATAAGTCTAGTAAAAAAAAATTATTAAGGTCATTATTAGCTGCATGACTGCTGTCAGCTCATTTTTCTGAGGCTTGGTTTTCTCACATGTAAAATAGATTAGTGATAGCTTATCTTATAGGTATGTTACAAGTATATACAATGGGAGCAGCAATGTGGTTAAATGCTTGAGTTCTTGGGTCAAATAGACTAGGTTCAAATTAATGGCTGTGTCACCTCTCATTGACTTGATCCTCAGTTTTCTCATCTGTAAATATGTGGATAAATAATAATAGCACCCTCGATTGACTGCTCTGAGTACTGAGTTACATAATCCAAGTAATGTGCCTGGAACTCAGTGATCAGTAAATGTTAGCTGTAACTACAGGGAGCCACTGGAATGCCAAAAGGAAAGAAGTCACTAGAGGATCCAATGGGACTTGAAATAAACTCCGTGGATAAGTGAAAAAAAGTAAAAAAAAAAAAAAAAAATAGTAACCACCAGTGTGTGAGAGAGGTTAACCTCCAATATTCAACAGCAATATTGAAGAGGGAAGTTGTGATTCTCCTACAACCTAAAACTCTTTCAGTGAAAGAGTAGATTAAAGATGAAATAGCTCTGCTAGGCTGGTTGATCCTCAGAGGTTAAGAAATGAATATATCAAAGCCTGAGGTAGCTGGGGAAGTAGAATTAGAGAAGTAACCTGTGGCCAGTCTTATAAAAATAAATCATTAATCCACACCAGCAGAATCCAAGATTTTAAAGATAGAGTATCATGCATCTATTTTAACTTACTTTCTAAATGAATCTCTTAAGAGAGATTTTTCTTAAAGACTGCATGAACAGTATCTTCTATTAATTAAATATCTTACTGATAATTTGTGCAAAGTTCTCACATTTAATGTTAATTTAATTTCCTGTCCTGCTCTCTCTCCTCCTCCCTTTCTCTTACACACACACACGCACACGCACGTGCATACACACATCCTCCACATAAAAAAGACCAATAGCTCTACAGTTAACAATGTTTAACAAAAATACCTTGTCATAGATTATAGGTAAGATTTAACATTTTCCTTGCTCTTAAAGAGGAAAGGACTATTAAAAATAAAAATAACTCTTAATTGGGTCTAAGTATTTTCTTTGGAGTGTTACAATATAAATACTATATACCAAAACTATAATGAAATGTATTTTTATTCCCTAACAAAAAATGAAGTATACTTAAAGCAGATTGCTAGTTTTCTTTTTGTGATATAACCACCCTGTTTTAATTATCTTAATAATAAATACAAAAAAGTAAATTAGTTTCTTAACCTGATGTTACGGTATCTGTAGGTCTCTCTTCCAATTGGCTTTCAAGTATCTCATTGGTATTACTTTCCTAGAAGAAAAAAACATATTGGAGAAATGTTTAAAGAGCTAAATTATTTTTTCCTGCTTTCATAACTTTTTAAAATACTTTTAAAAAATTTACAGAAGACAAGAAGAATATGGGTTTGTGAGAAAAGCAAACAGTACTGTTTTAAAGAGAGGCACACCCTGGCTAGGAGTTAATGGTCCAGGAAGAGAAGACCCAAGAATTGATAAAGTTTCCGAATGATGAATGCATGACAGAAAAAGATTACAAGACAAATGGCATAATGTTTAACTTCAAGTGGTATAAGAGGATACCCCCGGGAAACAGATCACTTTTTTATTGGAATACATTATGGTCTATCAGTTGCAAAGTGATGTGGATCTTTATAAAATTCCAAGAAGAATTATAAGGTGGAGTGACCACTGGCTCTTATAAAATACTGATTTTTCAATGAGAACCCAAAGTTCAGAGTCCCTTTAATGAAAAGCCCTGCAAAATTTTCCTAAAATACTAATTCTGTATTAGCAAATGCTAATCAATTTATCTTATCGCAGCACAATCCCGCCCAATTATCTCAGAGGCATTGAAAAACATGAATATATCAATATGTTATGACTACCATTTCAAAGCTGTGATTTTAGTCAATGTTTTATCTATTCACTGAAATCCCTATGAATCTTTTACTGCCAGGTCAAAATGTATAGATTAGATAGTACTTCTAAATAGTAAATCTTACTTATATATCTGATAAGGGTCTAGTATCCAAAATATATAAAGAACTCTTACAACTCAACAATAAAAATAGCCTAATTAAAAAATCAGCAAAAGATATGAATAAAAATTTATTCAGAGAAGATATACAAACGGCCAGTATTCACACGAAAAGATGTTCACATCATTGGTCATTAAAGAAATGCAAATCAAAACCACAATGAGATACCACTTCAAACCCACTAGGATGGCCATCATTAAATTTTCTTTAAAAAGAAAAATAACAAGTGTTGTAGGAGATATGGCACCCTCATGCATTGCTGGTTAAATGTAAAATTGTGCAGTTGCTGTGGCAAACAGTTTGGTAGTTTCTGAAAAAGTTAACAGAATTATGATATGATCCAGCAATTCCACTCCTAAGTATATAAAACATACATGTACACAAAAACTGCACATGAATGTTCATAGCAGCATTATACATAATAGCTAAAAAGTGGAAACAACCAAATGTCCATCAACTGATGAGTAGATAAAAAAATGTAGTATATCCAAACAATGAAATATTATTTGGCAATGAAATGAAATGAAGTATTGATACATGCTACAATAGTGATGAACCTTAAAAACACTATACTAAGTGAAAGAATCAAGTCACAAAGGACCATATATTGTATGATTCCATTTATATGAAATATCTAGAACAAGAAAATCTTTAGAGATATAAAGTACATTAGTTGTCATCTAGGGCTAGCAGGGCATGAGGGGTTTGGAGGGTATAGGCTAAGAGGTATGGGGTTTCTTTTTGGGGTGATGATAATGTTCTTTGATTGTAGCGATGGAAGCACAACTCTGTCAATATACTTAGGGTCACTGAATTGTACACTTTAAATGGATGAACTGTATAGTATGTGAATTATATCTCAACAAAGCTGTTAAAAACTAAACCTTATAAATTATTAATCAATATTTATTGAATGTCACATTATCAAAATAGGAACGTGCATGAACTATGAGTAGCATTTTATAGAGAGAGAACAAATAAACAATATCTGATCATTATTTTTACTTATCATAATTTTAAACTAAAAATCTATGTATGGAAGAATGTATTACGTTAATTACCTTAGTTTCTTTACGTTCCAATCTTGGGGTAAGAACTCCTTCTAAATAGCTAGCTTTTTCTATCCATGTACTCAGACGTCTATATTCTTTTTTCATTTTTTCTAGCCTAAAGAAAAATCAGTTACAGATTTAAAAAGTGACAGAAGAATATATATGGTATGAAGCAAAGAACAACACATACAGTATAATACATTTATAAAAAGTCCTTAAAGAAGAAAACCAACAATATATTGTTTAAGGACACATAGGAAAAGGAATGCTTACAACAAAAATCAGGATAGTAGTTACCTGGGGAGAGTTGGGGAGAGGGATGTAATCTCATAAGGGCACACAAAACACATTATAATATTGGTAATGTATTTCTTAACTCGAATTGTAAATATCTAGGCAATGGTCTCATTATCTTTATTTAAGTTATACATACATATTTAAGAAATTATTCTATATATATTGCTCTCATTTAAACTATATATACATATTTTATAAATTATTCAACACATATATGATATCCTCTGCAATAAAACAAATGAAAAGATAGGAATTTAGTTTTTAATCCAAATTTCAAAAGGCTTTCATAATCTAAAAATATAATCGACAAGAATTAAATGGAAAAGAGGACATGTTTCTCAATTCATTTCATTAGGACACTATGACCTTGACAATAAAGCATAACAAGGACATTACAAAGAAGGAAAGTTAGTCTAATCTCATTCACAAACATAGATGCAAATGTTACAAATAAAATATAATTTTAGTACAAAAAATGTAGTGGTATAAGGAAATAATAATATACCATGAACCAGTTGGCTTTATCCCAGGAATATAAGGATATTTTGACATTAATAACAGAATGTTTAATTTAAATACAATTTAACTGATTAAAAGAGAAAAATAATTTGGCAAAATCCAACATCCATTCATGATTAAAATAGAAAACTCTTAGAAAACTAGGAACAGAATGGAATAATTTACTTAATCTGGTATAGGACATCAACCAAAAAACCTATATAAATAATGTGCTTGACTATTAAATGCTAGAAGCATTGCCATGAAAGATCCTGAACAAAACAAAGATGTCCACCCTCACCATTTATAACAGACATTGACTGGAGCTTCCAGCCAGCATAGAATGACAAGAAAACAAAACTAAAGATTAAGGATTGGGAACAAAGAAAGAAAATTGTTATTACTTGTAGATGATATGATTGTTTAAATAAATTCCCCCAAATGAAACCACAAATAAGTTATTATGAATATGAAAGTTTAGCTAAAAAGGAAAATTCCAAGAAGATGATAAAAGCAGAAGTAGCATAGTTTTTGAATCCTCCCAAATATCTACATAAAAACATTCAGAGTATCTAGGTAGCAAACACAAAAACTTATAGGCAACATTTACAAAACCATGTGACAAGGTTTCCCTATTAACCCCATATACATAAGACCTTCATGGTATCAGTGAATATATGGGAGAAAGCAACAGGTATAAAAGGGGCATCTGATGAATGTGAGAATAAGAGAACCCCAAAGAGCCAACAGGTAGTCACAAGAAAGCACAGCCAGCCAGCCTGAGAATAGCAGTTGAAACTGGGAGGGTTTTACTCATTCCAGTAGTGGGTGAGTACAAACCATTCATGATAAGAATTAAAGGACTGGAGTAGTCTAACCACTGAGAATGCTCAAAACTGACCAGCCAGGTCTCTACTTAGGGACAGGGCCTCAGAAAACCTTGAAAGAAGGTCACTGTATATTTAAACACCAAATAAAAACTTCAGAAGTGGGAGCTCTGTGAAGCTAGAAAAGCTTTCGGAACCAAGCTTCTACAAAAAATTCAGGAAAATTAATTTCATATAAAATTGAGCAACAGAGAATTATCAGGGCCAAATTCCAAAGTAGTTATAAGAAGATAATAAGGATCAAAATAACATTCTTAGATTGCAGAAACACACAACAAAGATACATGCGAGTCAGTGAGCAGAAGGAGGAGAGGGGGACCCATTCTGCTAGGAAGAAGGGGGTTGGGTGGTGCTGCCACTCAAGAGAAGGCAGAGCAACAGCCATTGCTGTCACTGGAAGCCAAAGAAGTCGAGGTTCTGCAGGTGGAGCTCAGGGAGCCACTCTGAATGGAGAAGCATTATAAGGATCCAGATGTGTTCTACTAAGCCAAGAACTGAAGAAATTTGTGGATTCCAGTCCAAGATGGTGAAGAGGCTCCTGAACTCATTCATCTCCTCTCAGAGATACACCACATCTATAGTTGTACAAGGACCAATTCCTGCTGAAAGAAATCCAGAAATAGCTGAGCAACTCCTAAACACTGGACGAATGAGAAAATACCCACAGCAAATGGGTAGGAAAGGCTGAGACACACTCTCATCATAAACCTAACCCTGGCACCATGTCATACAATTGAGAAGGAACTTCCAATTCCCAGCATCTCTTTGAGGAGAGAAAGGTTCGGACCCCACAATGAGTGCTCCAACTTTCAAGACTGCCACTTGAGGGACAGGGCCCCAAAACACCTAGCTAGGTCACACCTAGCTTGTGACCATGAGACCATCAAGGTTAAAACAAAATAGAAATAGTTCTTAATGGGTTCTCTAGGACTTGCCATGGTTATTTGCCAAGGGCTCAGCACAGAGTAGGCAAAAACTGTCCATCTCCCAGTCTTTCCCCAAGAGAAGCCCACTCACATTCTGTAAAAGTTAATGTTTGAGGGTCAGGCTTCTAATTTAGCATGCTTCTAGGGGCTGACTGCAATCCTCCCTGGAAACCAGGGAAGCCAGCAGACACTGCATCTCTCTTCTCCCTCTAGCCTGATCCAGATCACCAGTATCTCCAAGGAAATGTATCTCCAAGGAAATGTATCTCCAAGATACAACTGGCACCCCGGATTCTGTGGCTGCCACCCAAGGCACAGGCCCCCAGATTGCCTGATGTCACAGTCAACAGGGTTTGCAGTTACCAGTCTACAGGACTATAGTACACAAAGAAGCAGTTTTAATGGGTGCAGGTGCACCACCAACCCTGTGACTATACAAACAGGCCCAGCACAGAGGGAAGAGGAAAAAAAAGTCTTCCAGTTTGTCCCTGAAAGGGCTCTAACTACATACTTTCCCAGCATCTGCCTGGGGGTTCAGCTTCCAATCAGTCTGAATCTAGGTGCTGACTGAGATCTCCCCTTTGGGACACTGACAAGTCTTGACACGCCCTCAACTATTGGGAGGGTGACTAAGAACAAACAAGGTGACTTGGACCATCACAAAGGTTTGAGGGACAACCAAGAACTTGGGCTGGGCTGATGGTAAGGTTCCTTTCCTACAATGAGGCCACAACATCAAAACTTAGAGAGGTGGTTGTTTTATCTAATGTTCAGAAACCAACACAGAGAGTCAAGGAAAATGAAGTAAGAGAGGAATAAGTCTTAAGCAAAGGAATAAAATAAAACTCCAGAAACATAAGTTCCAAACAAAAGAACAAGATAAAACTCTAGAAACAGACATTAATGAAGCAGAGATAAGTGACTTACCTGATAATGAATTCAGAATAATGGTCATAAAGCCCATCAAGGTCAGAAGAAAAATGTATGAACAAAGTGAGAATTTCAACAAAGAGATAGAAAATATAAGAAAGTACCAAAGAGAAATCACAGAGCTGAAGAATACAAAAACTGAACAAATGATATGACTAGCCAGAAGGGGTTAATACCCAAAATATATAAACAGCTCATATAACTCAATATCAAAAAACAAACAACCCAGTCAAAAAATGGGCAGAAGACCTGAGTAGACATTTTTCCAAAGAAGATATACAGATGGCTAACACACACAAAAAAAATGCTTAATATCACTATCAGAGAAATACAAATCAAAACAACGAGATATCTCTTCACACCTGTTAGAATGGCTATCATCAAATAGTTTACAAATAACAGACGTTGGTGAGGATGTGGAGAAAAGGGAACCCTTTCACACTGTTGGTGGGAATATAAATTGGTGAAGCCACTATGGAAAACAATATGGGGGGTCCCAAAAAAACTAAAAATAGAACTACCATATGATCCAGCAATTCCACTCCTGAGTATAAATCAGAAAAAATGAAAAGCCTAATTTGAATAGATACATGCACTTCAATGTTCACAGCAGCACTATTTACAACAGCCAAGATATAGAAGCAACTCAAGTGTCCATCAACAGAAGAATGGACAAAAAAAAGATTTATTCATACACACAATGGAATATTACTCAGCCATAAAAAAGAATGAAATTCTGCCATTTGCAGCAACATAGGTGGACCTAGAGAATATTATGCTTAGAGAAATAAATCAGAAAGAGAAAGACAAATACTGTATGATATCACTTATTTGTAGAATCTAAAAAATAAAATGAATGTATCTAGCAAAACAGAAACAGACTCACAGATACAGAAAACAAACTAGTGGCTACCAGTGGGGAGAGGGAAGAAGAGAGGGGCAAAATAGGGGTATGTAATTAAAGGATACAAACTACTATGTATAAAATGGATAAGCAATAAGGATACATTGTACATTACTGGGAATTATAGCCATTATTTTGTAATAACTTTTTAAAATTTAATTAAAAAAAATTTTTTTGGCCATGCCACACAGCATGCAGGATCTTAGTTCCCCAACCAGGGATTGAACCTGCATCCCCTGCAATGGAAGCATGGAGTCTTAACCACTGGACCACCAGGGAAGTCCCTGTAATAACTTCTAATGAAGTATAATTTATAAAAATACTGAATCACTATGCTGTAGACCTGAAACTAACATAATATTGTAAATCAACTATACTTCAATTAAAGAATTCATTGTCAAACATCAAAAAAAAAAGGAATCAGCTGTGTTTCAGAAAGAGAAATTAAGGAAACAATCCCATTTCCAATCACATCAAAAAGAATAAAATACCTAGGAATAAATTTAACTAAGGAGGTCAATGACCTGTATTTGGAAAACTATAAGATACTGATGAAAGAAATTGAAGATGATATGAACAAATAGAAAAATATACTTTGCTCATGGGTTGGAAGAATTAGTATTTTTTAAAATGACCATACTACCCAAGGCAATCTACAGATTCAATGCAATCCCTATCAAAATAACAATGACATTTTTCACAGAACTAGAACAAATAATTCTAAAATTTGTATGGAAACACAAAAGTCCCTTATTACCCAAACAATCTTGAGAAAGAAGAACAAAGCTGGAGATACGACACTCCCTGATTTCAAACTACAATACAAAGTTACAGTAATTAAAATAGTATGGTACTGGCACAAAAACAGACACATAAATCAATAGAACAGACTTAAGAGCTCAGAAGAGAACCCATACTTACATGATCAATTAATTTATGACAAAGGAGGCAAGAACATACAATGGGGGAAAGACAGTCTCTTTAGTAAATCATGCTGGGAATACTGGACAGCTACATACAAAACAATCAAATGGGACTACTTTCTCATACCACATACAAAAAATAAACAAATGGATTAAAGACATAAATGTCAGACCTGAAACCATAAAACTCTGGAAGTAAACACAGGCAGTACACTCTTTGACATTGGTCTTAGTGATATTTTCTTGGATATGTCTCCTCCAACAAGGGAAACAAAAGCAAAAATAAACAAATAAGACCTAATTAAACTTCCAACTTTTGCACAGCAAAGGAAACCATCAACAAAATGTAAAGCCAACTTACTGAATGGGAGAAAGTATTTTCAAACAATATGATAAGGGGTTATTATCCAAAATATACAAAGAACTCATACAATTCAACATCAAAAAAGCAAACAATCTGAGAAAAAAATTGGCAAAGGACCTGAACATACACATTTCCAAAGAAAACATACTGATGGTCAACAGACATAAAAAGAGGCTCAACATCAGTAATCATCAGGGAAATGCAAATCAAAACCACAACCAGATATCACCTCACAGAATGTCAGAATAGGTATTATCAAAAGACAACAAATAACAAGTGTTGGTGAGGGTGTGGAGAAAAGGGAACCCTCCTGCACTGTTGATAGGAATGTAAATTGGGGCAGCCACTATGGAAAACAGTATGGAGGTTCTTCAAGAGATTATAAATGGAACTACCATACAATCCAGCAATTCCACTTCTGGGTATTTTTCCAAAGAAAACACAAACACTAATTTAAATAGATATATGCATCCCTATGTTCACTGCAGCATTATTCACAATAGCCAAGATACAAAAGCAACCTAAGTGCCCACTGATAGATGAATGGATAAAGAAGATGTGGTGTGTATATATATATATATATATATATACACACACACACACACACACACACACACACACACACACACACACACACATATGCAATGGTGTATCATAAGCCATAAAAAGAATGAAATCTTGCCATTTGCAACAAAAAAGGTACAGCGCTAACTGAAACAAGTCAGGCATAGAAAGACAAGTAGTGTATGATTTCACTTACATGTGGAATTTAAAATTCAAAACAGATGAAGAAACAAATCAGAGACAGAATCATAGACAAACAGAACAAACAGAGTGGAGGGGAGTGGAAGAGGAGTGGAATAGGTAAGGGAAATTAAGAGGTACAAACCTCCAGTCACAAAATAAACGGATCACGGGGATGAAATGTAAAGCATGGGGAATATAGTCAAAAATAATGTAATACCTTTGCTGACAGATGGTAATTAGACTTATCATGGTGATCATTTTGTAATTTATAGAAATGTTAAGTCACTGTGTTGTGCACCAGGAACAATATAGTGTTGTAGGTCAATAATACTTCAAAAAATGAAAGAACAAGCTCATAGAAAAAAGAGATCAGATTTGGGGTTACCTGAGGCAGGGGGTGAGGAAAGGGGAATTGGATGAAGGTGGTCAAAAGGTACATACTTCCAGTTGTAAGATAAATAAGTACCAGGCATTCAGTGTACAACATGATTAACATAATTAGCACTGCTATAGGTTATATATGAAAGCTGTTATGAGAGTAAATCCTAAGAGATCTCATCACAAGGAAAAATCTTTTTTCTTTTTCTTTTATTTTGAATCTATATGAGATCATGGATATTTGGTAATCTTATCATGATAATCACTTCATGATGTATGTAAGTCAAATCATTAAGTACTGCTTAAACTTATACAGTGCTGTGTGTCAATTATATCTCAATAAAACTGAAATAAAAATAAATAAATATTATGTGGAATCTAAAAAATGGTACAAATGAACTTATTTACAAAACAGGAATAGAGTCACAAATGTAGAAAACAAACTTATGGTTACCAGAGGGGAGGGGGGAGAGAGATAAATTGGGAGATTGTGATTGACATATATACACTACTATGTATAAAACAGATAACTAGTAAGGACCTATTGTATATAGCACAAGGGACTCTACTCAATACTCTGTAATGACCTATACGGGAAAAGAACCTAAAAAAGAGTGGATATATGTATATATATAACTGACTCACTTCGCTGTACACCTGAAACTAACACAACATAAATCAACTATACTCCAATAAAAATAAATAAATAAATAAATGTTATTGAAAGAATAAAACATAGGACTAGGAGAAAAGGGGGTTCCTTGATCACTCAACTCAATGTTTATGAATTAATTTATAAGTTTGAGTAAAATATGCATATACATAAACACCATTTTTAAAATTTTAGGAGTTCCGTTTCTGGCAATGATGGAATCGATTATTTCAGACCATCTCACTGCACAACTGAAAAAGCTGACAAAGTATTTTAAAATTTTTTCTTTGGAAGCATCAGTCAGTTATAAAGGCAGCAAGAATTTGCAAATCCAAGATGCCAGACAGAAAGGAAGTCTGGAGACTCTGAGCCCATAATTTGGAGCCATTTTCCTTCAAGGCATTTGAGGTGGACAAGAGTTAAGAGCTTTGAGAGAAATATGTAAGAATGAGGGAACAAAAACCAGAGTTCAGCCCCTGTTAAGGATGAGAAGCCATGGTAAGCACCTAGGCTTTCAGTTGGGGCCCTAGAGGGCTATACCCCAAGAATAAGTGCCTCTTTAACTATTGTACCCTGGTTGCCTCTCACTAGTCCCGGCCTTGATGTTAAGAATAAGAGTAAACCAAAAAAAGACTAATGCCCACAGGAACTAGAGCCCAAATCATTTCAGTCTCACCTCAATTGAATTAAGGTGATCTGGCATTGCTAGTGTTCCTAGGCTAGCTGGCTGCCAGATGCAAATGTACATATTAGCTGTAAAAATATATAATCAAGAGCCTCAAATCAGTTCTACAGATTTTCAAATACAATATTTGGCACTTGATGAAAACAACTAGGCATATGAGAACATAAGATTTGACTAAAAACTCTGAGAAAAAAACCAACAATAGGTATAGACTTATAGGAAATCCAAATAATCAAGTTATCAGAGATGAACTTTGAAATACAATGATTAATATGTTCAAAGAATTAAAAGATAAGACTGAGGATTTTGGTAGAGAAGTGGAACTATAAAGTAAATGAAAATTCCATAACAAAAGGAAATAACTGAGATTAAGAACTCAATTGGCTTAACAGTAGATAAGAGACAAAGAAGAAAGAACCAATGATTATAAGACAGGTCAGAAGAAAATATCTAAAGCATAGAGATAAAAGATGGGAAATACAGAAAAGAGTATAAGAGACCTATAGACTATATTGTTGAGTGAAGAGGCAGAGAAAGTATTATACTTTCTCCCATATTAATATGTTCTCACCCCTTTTCTTGCCAGATCATTGACTTTTTAAAACAAACACTGAACCCATAATATCATCATTATGAAGGTTTCTGGACCAATAGCAAGCCTATGTCTCAAAGGAAAAATTAATATATAAATAACACATAAATAAGATGAAAATCTTTTTGTTTTGTTTTGTTTTTGTTTTTTACCTTGCCCGGGGTTGTTGCTGAAGTTTTTCAAGTCGTACTACAGATGGCTGGTTGGATTGGGATGCTGTAGTTGGCACCCCAACCGAAACATTCAGGTCTGGGGATAAGAATGCTGGATATTCTATTCGTTGTGGTATAATAACATTTCTGGAAAATGGTAATAAAGTTAAAATTATACAAAAGTCCACTTCTAAAATCAGTGTTAGCTATCACTTTTGAATCACTCTCTTTTACACTGTAAGCTCACCTATCCATATTGGACCACTAGAGGATAGAGTTAGGAAAGAAGACAGAAGTCAGAAATACTGCGAGAGTGACCTCTTGGGTACTCTTACTACTAAGATCATGGGTAGCAGAGATGGGAAAGAAGAGAAGGACCTGAAGTTCTAAGGAGAATTAGAAAGTGTTTGAGCCCAGACCTCTCTCCCTATCTCTAGATCCAAATCTCTATCTCATGGCTCAGTCAAGTTGACACAAAAAACAAACCATCACAAGTCCACCCCTTGTCAACTTGGTACCCATAAACATCTTACAACATGCTTAATCTCCAAATGAAAACAATAACAAGGTCATAATTAACCTTACATGATACAACTCTCCTGTATACATACAGCCAAAACTCACTAGCCCCTTCCTCAGAAAAGGATGTAAAGTCCTTGAGTGATGTTTACTCTTCTCCTTAATATCCTGGAACTTAAATAACTATAATGTAAGGTTAACAATACTTAAATATTATGATATAAAGGAAATATATATTACGTTACATGATAAGGAGATGAGAGGGAAGAAAAACATACATATAAATATTTTTTCCAGGTCACTGAGTAAATGGGCCAGAGTAGCACATCCAAAGGAATATGTTGCCTCCAAAACCCAAGAGACCCACTAGGTGTTATGCCTCTTTTTTTGGTTGTAGGAGAGCCCAGATACAACAACTTGCCCTTCACCTCAGCAGGAATATCTTGACAAGCCCCATACCTGGATCCCTAAAATTTCACTGAGGTAGAAAGCCCTCGAATTTTATCAGACTTATTTCCCACCTTCAGACATGCAAATATCTTACCAATAAGTTTAGAATAGTGCCACTTCTTGCTCACTAGGTCCAATCAGCATAATGTCATTACTGTAAGGGTGAGTGTGATATCTTATATAAGAGAAAGTAATCAAGATTCCTGTCTACTATATCATGACATAGGGCTGGAGAGTGATGTATCTCTGAGGTAGGACAGTGAAGGTATACTGCTGGCCTTGCCTGTGGAAATAAAACTGTTTTGGATGGTCTTTATTAACAAGTATGGAGAAAAAAGCATTTGCCAGATCAAGAGATGCATATCAGGTACCAGGGGGTGTGTTAATTTGCTCAAGCAATGAAACTGCAAACTGGTACAGCAGCTGCATTTGGAGTCACCACCTGGTTAAGCTTACAATAATCTACTGTCATTCTCCAAGATACATCTCTTTTCTGCACAGGCCAGATAAGTGAGTTGAATGGGGTTGTGATGGAAACCACCATCCCTGCACCTTTCAAATCCCTATGGTGGCACTAATCTCTGAAATCCTTCCAGGTATTGCTTTTGGTTTACTCTTAGTGGTAGCTCTAGTGGCTTCCATTTAGTCTTTTCCACTGTAATATCCCTCATTCCACAGGACAGGGAAGGTATTCACCAACTGTTGAATACATATATTCTAATTATGCATTCTGAAACTGGGGAAATAACTATAGGATGGGTTTGGGGACCCACTGGGGCCCCCATGAGATGAATCAGAGTTAAAACTCCATTGACCACATGACCTCCATAAGCCCCTATTCTAACTGGTAGACAACAGTGACATTTTGGGTCTTCTGGAATTAGTGTCCATTCAGAGCCAGGGTCCAGTAGTCTCTGAAAACTCTATTTCCTTTTCTCTGATGCACAGTTACCCTGGTAAAAGGCTGTAGTTCCTTTGGGGGAATGCTGGGAGAAAGATTAACATAATTTTTGGCACTGTACTGAGGTCTCTCCTCAAGGGGATCAGGCTTCCCCTTTATTCAAAGGGTTCTGGGTCTGTAAACTGGTTCAAACTGGGAACTGACTGAGGACCTCTGCTTTTATGATTTAGGTTAGACTTTTGTTCATTTGACCTAGAACTTTTCTGCTGATACAGATCAAGTAAGAATTTAGCAGGCTTCCTGTATATTCTGTTTCTAGGAATATCATGATCAACCAGCCAATGCCATAGGTCTACATGAATCAGACGATTGTGGTTGCTGCTTTGACCCTGCTGTCCATCACAGTAACCACACCCACCTTGCCACTTCAGGATCCAATTCCTCCCAGTTCATTTAGGTTTTCCAGTTCAGTGACTGCAGTTCCCACTGGCCTACAGAGAAGAGCAATCACAGGGCTCTTCAAGGGTGGGGATTCCCTCACAAACTTATTTGTCACAGTCATGGTGAAAGGTGTGTCTTCCGGAGCCTCCCAGGGTGAATAAGTAGGTCTTAAATGACAAATCCACTCTAACAGTACAATCTCCCTAAACCTTTGAATTCCTTCCTCTACATTAAACTAAAGTAGATCTGGCATTTTCAATCCACTCACAGTGGGCTATCTTTTGGTCCATGTTTCAGTAACCAACAAAGTGTTAGAGTCCTTTGTAACTCCCCAAGCTGCAAATTAAACGTAGAATCTCTGCTTAGTGAGCCCATACCCATAAATTTGATATGATCCAACTTTATGATCCTGCCACCACTATCCCATACCTTTAATATCCTCATACCCTCACACGTCCCCTGGATTTTTTTTTTTTTTTTTTTGCGGTACGCAGGCCTCTCACTGTTGTGGCCTCTCCCGTTGCAGAGCACAGGCTCCGGACGCGCAGGCTCAGCGGCCATGGTTCATGGCCCCAGCTGCTCCGCAGCATGTGGGATATTCCCGGACCGGGGCACGAACCCGTGTCCCCTGCATCGGCAGGCGGACTCTCAACCACTGCGCCACCAGGGAAGCCTCCCCGGATTTTTATATATATAAATTAGAAAACTCAAGCAGTTCTTTTTGGAGTGTGGTGTACTTCCTCGTGGGTCACACTTTGAACCTCACCTTTAGGGGCTTGCTGGAACTTGAGTCTAGTTACAGGCCTAGAAGCAAAGGGGGGCCGTGGGGGTGAGTTTTGAGGAGAATCAACATCGTCTTGCATGGCAACTGCCTCAGAAGAGGCCATTACTATTTCTTCAAGTAATGCAGGGTTAATCCCCTCAGATGGGGTGGAAAGGCCACTACCACTTTTGCTGGGGGTGGAGAGGTCTCTTCCACTGGGGTTTGAGAGGTCACTTCAGCTGGCAAAGCAGATATATCAGAATTTATGGGCTCAGCATCCCCAGCTTCATCAGAGTCTTCTCCTATTTTCCCATCCCAACTTTAAGGGTTCCACTTATTCCCAACCAATATCCTCACTTTAACAGTAGACACCCTGTGAGGCTGGGAGCTCAATTTGCGTTGTAATTCAGGCAGCGGCAGGATGAAATTCTGGCTTCGATTTTCAGCAATCTTAGCATTATGGCTATAGGAGATAAGGGTCTCCTGCAGGGCATACATGGAAGATTTCAGGTCATTTACACAATGCTTGAGCTCGGAATTTGAATCCTTGAGCTCATTCTTTTCTCACCTTTGTCCATCAACATTAGGAATACCCAGCCAATTCATTATATTCATTAGTTTGACAAAAATGTTTGAAAGTATCATATATATAGTCACCCATATCTTTGCTTCTTTGCTTTGATTAGGGGTATCCAATGGGTGATATTTTTCACATCGCTATTGCCAGATCACGCCATGGACTATCAGTGTCTCTTTACCACTAGAAATAGAGTCATTAGAGTCTTTAAATCTATAATCGGATTAGAGAGCTAATTCCACAAACCCCAGAACCAATTCAGAAAACTTGTCCTTAATCTTCTGTTTCTCTAGAGTCACACTCGGTATCAAAATCTGTATTAGTGAGAGCTGTTCAGAGAAACAGAACCAATAAGATGGAGAGAGAGGGGGAGAAAGAGAAAGACAGAGAGAAGTTCATTATAGGGAATTAATTTAAGTGATTATGGAAGCTGACAAGTCCAAAGATCTGCAAGATGAGTGGGTCAAGCTAGAGAGCCAGGAGAGCCAATGGTGCATAGTTCTAGTCCAAAAGTCTGCAGACTCAAGATCCAGGAAGAGCTGATGCTTCCATTCAAGTCCGAAGGCAGGAAAAAGCCAATGTTTCAGTCAAAGGCAATAAGGCAGGAGGAATTCTCTCTTACTCAGGGAAGGATCAGATTTTTTGTCTATTGGGGCTCTCAACTGATTCGATGAAGCCCACCCACATTAGTGAGGGCAATCTGCTTTACTCAGTCTGCTGATTTAAATGTTAATCTCACTCAAAACATCCAGAATAATATTTGACCACATATCTGAGCACCCCCTGGCCCAGTCAGTTCGACACACCGAATTAACTGTCACACCCACCAAGTTATTGCCCTAGTCCAGATTGTCAGTATCTCTCATGTAGACTAATGCAACAGCTTCCTCCAATCCAATACTAAGCTACTTCTGTCCATATTCAGTCCTATTGATAGGATCATATAAAATGCAAGTTGATCATGGTACTTCCTCTACTTAAAATTCTTCAATGGTTCTACATCTGAAGCACTTCCAAATTTTTCCAATAAAGAACTCCTGTGGGTAGAGGACAGTGAAGGTCTCCGGAGGTGTAACTTAATGCAATCAGACACAAACCACACATCTTGGAATCATTTTGTTATCTTGAAAATTTGTGACTTTTTAATTCTACTGCATAATATATAAATGTTAATTTTAAGATAACATTTTCCCTCTCAAAATCTTTGAGCAAAGTAATACTCCAGAAAGAAGCACCATATCTTCCAGTGCTTTGTGTTGCCCTGACACACCCCTGAGGACTCAAAGAGTAAAATTTACTCACATTTGAGAAGCATAAACCTACAGTGATGATGATGGTGATGATAAAACATTTATTACTTTAATAAGTAGCTAATAACTGAGAATTCTATTTGCTACCATGTTCCAAGTGCTTTATATGTAACTTATTTAATCATTACAATAACTCAATTGGGTAGCTGTTATTTTTATCCCATTCAATAGATGAAGCACAAAGAGCCGAAGTAACTTGCTCAAGGTCACACAGCTAGTACCTGGCAGAGTCCATGTAGTCTGGACTCTAGAGCCTCACCTCTTGACCACCATATCTTGCCCGTGACTACTGCTTCAGCTCATCTCCCATTGCTCCTTTCCTTGCTCCTATGTGCTTTGCAACCCACAACAAACTACTCACTGTTCCCCATTGTAACATAGCCTCTTATGGCTCCCACCTTTTACTTATGTGCTGTCTTTGGGGAATGTGTCTCCTCGTCCTTACAAAATCAACCTGATGCACCACTACTCATTTTTCAAGTCTTACATCGAGCACTCTTTCTTTTGTGGATCCTTACTTGATAATACGATCCTCCTGACTCCCCCAAGAAGTATGGGAAGCCCCTTGGCTGTGTCCCCCAGACCTCTATGTTACCCTCTAGAAGGGCTCCATCTCATTTGCATTATCTTATTTTTTTTACATGTTACCTTTGCATTAAACCATGAGCTACTTGAGGGCAGGGACCAAGCCTCATTTATCTTTGTATTTTTAGTGCCTTGCAAACGTTCAATAAATGTTTATTGAATCAATGGATAAATAAGGAAATAATAATCAATAAACATAAGAAAAACATTAAGCTTTGCTATTTCAACAAATCACCAATACCAAATGGACAACATTTATTTTTAATGATAATACCCAGTGCTGATAGGAAATCAGCACTTCAGAATATAATTTCCTATTCTATACCTAATTTCCTCAATCTCATTTCAAGTATTTTCCATTCCTTATTCTTGGATAGCACCATAGATTAAATATCTCTCTTTCAGGTGCTCATTTTTCTTTGATCTAATTTTACTGTTGAAATTGCAAGACTAATTGACATACTATACGTTAAGTTACTTTTGGCCTGCTAATTGCATTTTTTTGACCATAGGCTTTTTGCTGAAAATTTGGAAATAACAACTGGAGTGTGTGGAAGTGGGGGGTAATGCTACCATACTGCAGAGCAGAAAACTGGCAACTATTAGGCATCTTGATCTTAAAAGTTCCTCACCTCTTTCTGCAAAAGGAACATCTCACTGGCCAACTTTCCTTGTTAGGCTTCCCCTCCCTTCCCTCCTTCAGCCATGAAGTTGGCAACCCTTCTCTTCTTTTCTTATCTCCAGACCTCCTCAACTCCTCTCTCCAGGGCTACATCCTGTTTGGCTTTGTTTAGGCTTCCCCCTTAAACAAAACAATTCACTGCTTTCTTTATCTTGGAGTCTAGTTCATTCTGGCCATGTCTTAAGACAACCAAAATTATCCATCAAATGGATTACATATTTTAAATGCCACATGATATAACTGCGTTAATAAGACTTTAACACTTACGTCACAGGGTCTGTTCTTTCTGGAGGTGGTGCAATATTCATAAACATAGATGGCTTAATAATTTTCTGAAGAGGTTTTAACTGAGGAAAATAATAGGTATATATTAACACTATTTAGTTACAATTCCAGTTCATCCTAATACTACTATCCCCCAGGACTTAAATGATATATATAAAGAGGAAAGGAATTAAGAGAGGAAGAAAGAATTAACATTGAGCACTAAGTATCTTCCAATAATTTTGCATCTTTAATATTATTTAATCATCCCAATAATCCTATGAGGTAGATAACTATGCCTATTTTACAGATAATACTGAAGATCAGTAATTGTTCAAGGGTTACCCAACAGGCATGAGAGCCAACATTTGAATGCAAGTTTATCTCCTCCAGTGCAAGTCCTCTTTATACATTATCATGATAGGTAAGTAGGGGACTATGTTACTGAAAAGTTCATGGACATAAAATCAAATAGAACTTTTATTAAATTTCCCACTCTTTTCCTTACAATGCCTTTGTTCCTAGTTTTTAGTAGAGTCCACCTACATAAAACAATACAGTATTTGCCCAGTCTTATTTCAAAAGGATCTATCTCCCTAAGAATGGTATTGTTACATGTTATATCTAGATATAACACCTATCTCTGAACTTGGTACTCATAAACTTTGTCACAAAAAGGACTAAGCCTTTTGTGACACAGTTTAGGACTGATTAGGGATCCCTCTAAGGCCTAATTTATGATAAGAAAATAGGCAAAATGAAAAGAAAGAAAAATCAAAGCAGAAAGGGGAAAAAGAAAAAAGCTCGTGTCTAGTGGCTTTCATCAATATATTACTTACCTGTGATTCAAAATATATTAAAAAACATTACAATATACCACAGGCAAAATTTAAAAATACATTTTACAGGGATTTCCCTGTTAACACACAGCAGTAGACTTATTTAATAAGACTGATGTACCGACTCTCAATTCCTAATTAAAAAACAGCCAAGAATATGAAAAATAGCAAAAACTGAAAAGTAAAGATTATATGTAAAGTATACAGGTCATTTCTCCTACATAACTGCAGTACTAATGGGACTGAATTTATAAATGCCCCAAAGCTGTGACAGCACCCAGAGATATCAAGATTTCTCTCAAACACTTGGTAAGAATATATGTTGCTACAATTTTTCTAGAACAATTCCTTGAAAAGGCCATTACTGACAATGATCCATTCTAGGAATCCGGTCTGAGGACATAATGAAAGAAAAGGATATAGGTTAATGTACAAAAATTTTCTCTGCAACATGGATATATGTAGTAAATTTAAAGGGGCAGGCTAAACCTAGGAAGATACCTTCTTTGGGCATATTACTCTCTTGATGAATCAAGAAGGGTTGATGTTGAAATAATCAGGGGGAGAAAGGATTATATGTGATTAAAGTACAAAATATCTTAATAACATCAATGACTATTTTAATGATTATTTTTAGATATAAAAATACATTCATTTCTTGAATACTTAATTTTGTTTTCAATTACGTAAGTGTACACACACACAAAAGTATTATAATAAAGGCATTTCGAATAAAATCTCATTATTTAAAAATGTATAAACAAACAATGGTAAAGTTTCATTTTTCTTTAGGCTAGAGAAAAATGGTATTCTTTTAAAAATATTTTAAAGATTTTATCAAACTGGAAAGGATAGAGGCTCAGGAGGATGATTTAACTGAAGAGCTGCAGTAGAATTATTTTTAAAAGAGGGGAACTAACCTGATGTGAAAATCCATAACCAAAGTTTCCATAGGAGAACATAAATTCCACTTCTGCCCTGCAGATAAACTAAACATGTGCCAAATTTATTTTATTGTTTGATCAGAAAGATATTTTAATGGAGAGGTGATAACAAGTGATATTTTTACCTCACAAATCTATAAGTTAGAAAAACCAAAGCATGAATCTCTTGATTTAGAAAAAAAAATTTACAAAAGTAACTCCTATAGAAGAATCTATGGCATTCCTGAAATGTTAAAAACCTTACGTTAAAGTTAAGGAATATTACATGATTAAAATATGAAAAATATCAATTTACAATTGTTAATAGAATTATGCAGAGATACATATATACATATGTATATATGTATTCATATCCATGTATATAATATTTTTAAGTATTTATTCACACTTTTCCCATCTCCACTTCCGTTTTCAGATAAAATTTTGATTTAGACAAGTGATTTCATCTCTCTGAACCACAGCTGGCTCATATGTGAAATGAAGGAGGGTGTCAGAGGTTATGCCCTCAAATGTCCATCATTCTGTTTTTTATGTTTCCTATCCCCGATCTGGCTACTGGCAGCAGAAGCCTCTCTGAGTAGATGATCAATTAATCAAGATAATAATTTTTAAGTACTTAAAAAGGAATTCAAGTAAGAACTGTAAACAACTCTTTAGAAACTCCTTAAGGAGGAAAATAATATTTCCTCAATTCAGTATGTGAGGATCCTAAGGCCATGCAAAGAAGTAGCCAGAGGCGTTTTCCTCTCTTACCCAATGATTTCTAATTTTTGTGTTCACCATTTAGCAGTAAGATAGCAGCATTTAAAAAAACGGTGGAGATGAAGATTGTGAGCAAATATTATACGTTCTATTTAATATATTTCTATTAGTTCAAACAGTGACTGGTAGGGTAACAAAAGAATAAAAACAATATCAGAATAAAGTTACATGAAATGTTAAGTGTGTGCACAAAGCTTTGGAAGTTTCAGTAAAGTTCTTACTGTGTTTCTTTTCAACATTCGGAGTTCTTCAGTAAAGCACCCTTTCTAGAAAAAGTAACAATAAAATTCTTAAATACAGAATCACTGATATAGTCCCTTGTGTATTATCTAAATCATTTCATAAATTTTTAAAAATCAGGTAATGATGTTTAATGCACATATAAATTTAATAGCTAAAATACCAAAATAATGAATGTTTGGAAGAAAATAAAAATTCTAGGTTGTACCAGAAATAAATGTTAATATTTACATTTATGTTTTAAAGAAAAATGTTCCTGCTGCTTACACGTAGAGGAACTGCCAGGCCTGCACTCCTTTTGAGGGGTTAAACATGAATCTACATGATAGGCTAACTCATGACAGAACTGAGTGCTTCTCTCATCTCTTGGGGACTGTTGGGATCTTTTTAACCAGGAAAACATTTGGTATCCTTGGTCACCATCTCTGATCATCTCTGCTGTGCTATGAGTCCTCCCATCTAATCCAACATTCAATGGTTCTCTTTCTTTCCAGCGTTTTCCACTGTGGCTCATGGAACCCCCATTCCACGGTTGACAAGCAACCTTCCATCTTTAACTGCTCCACTAAACATTTCCAGCTTTCTTTAGCTCAGACCTGCCTCATCACTAAGGATGCCGCTTCCATTATAGACTCCTCAAGTGAAGGCCCACATATCTCAAGGTTAGGTGGGGGGGTAGCATCCTCCATACTCTCTTCTATTGCTTCCAGATCTTATTATTTATTATCTTATTACACAGATAAAAAGTTTTCCTCTTTTAAGGCTCATGCTCTCTGGAATGTCTTTCAGACATTCTGGTCACTAATTCTCATTTAGTGAAAACTTTGGCACCTGGTCTACATGTCCTCTGTACTCCCAAAACATAGCAATCCACAAGAACCTATTTAACACCTGTCCTCTCAGTTCCTGGTGAGGCATTATAATGAGGAAAATAACAGGTGGTGGTACAATGACAGACATCACACAAAATTAGCATATCATATATATTCTTCATATAAAGTCACAAGATTTCTCAGAAAATTCATAAGTAATTGAAATTGATTTCCTTAATGATCCTGTCAACATGCTCTTTATAGCTTCTTGCTTTTTAAAGCTTCCCTTTTCCCAAAGTGGGGAGTGGAGAAACATCTTACTCTTCCAAGACTGCCTTTTTCTTCTCTTCTCTTAAAAATGGTGTCTCTGCTTTTGATGGAAAACTCAACCTACTTATTCATCTCCCTCATATATAAGTAAACTTTTATTCATACTTTTAACTACTGTAAATGTCTTTGAATTATTTCTGAAGGTCCCACTGAGATCTACCCAATTGAGTCTTCATTAGAGCCAATTAAATGTTCATCCTGAATGTGGATCTAACTCATCCAAATCCACTGAGTTTTAGGCTTGCCTTCACCCAGCTCCATTGATGAGTTTCAATGTGTGACAATGAGCTACTTGGTTCCCTGTCCTGAATTTGATTCTGCTCCGTCCAAAGCAAGTTACATGGCTAAACGCAGTAGTCGGGGTGGGGAGCACTGTAGACTAGTCAAAGGTATAGATACCTGGAGGCATGATTCTTTAGGGGGCATTACTCTAACAATCTTCCACACCTTTGAATTTTCTATCACCTTTCTCAAATAATTACAGTAGCTATCAATCTTTCTAATTGTTGAATTTATCACCTAGTCTTAGGCTCATCTGGTATGGATCATATAGCCTAACCAATGAACACAAATGGTACTGCAATTCATTCCAAAATTAACATTACATTCCCTTCTATAATCAATATAGAAATATTATAAACTCCAATATACTTATATGCCTTAACTGGACCCCAGACCTTAACAATTAGCTGATGTTTCTGGTTTCTCCCAGAGCCTCAAAGAAATCCAAAATGTATCAGGGATATGAAGGAACAAGGGGTTAATGATACAAGTACAGACCAATTACTTTTTTCTTTTTTTGGCTGCATTGGGTCTTCGTTGCTGCGCGTAGGCTTTCCCTAGTTGCAGTGAGTGGGGGCTACTCTTAGTTGCGGTGTGTGGGCTTCTCATTGCGGTGGCTTCTCTTGTTGCGGAGCACGGGCTCTAGGCACATGGGCTTCAGTAGTTGTGGCACACAGACTCAGTAGTTGTGGAGCATGGGTTTAGCTGCTCTGTGGCATGTGGGATCTTCCCGGACCAGGGCTCTAACCCGTGTCCCCTGCATTGGCAGGTGGATTCTTAAACCACTGCGCTATCAGGGAAGCCCCAATAACTTTTTTTTTTAATAAAGTTATGCAAAACCTATTATGTGATTTATTTAATTCAATTCAGCATCTTTGGCCTCCAAAATCAGGCCAATTATATTCAGAAAGCAACTGATACCACTTGGTAATCATAAACAATACACGTGTACTTTCCAAGTATACAAGTGAGATAATTGTTGTACAATCAGATGGCCCTCCCATGCTTCCAAACATGATCTGTAGTTTGGGTCTTATCATCAGGTCTTTCCAACTCAACCAAGCACTAGATTTTACCAATCTGCATGAGGATTTCTACCATGGCTAGTAGTTCTATAATCAAGTGTTCTATAATCTATCCCTGCATGTGACCCAAATAGCAAATGATACAGCTCAAGCTTTAGAGACCAAAGAGATAAGCATAAATTTGCTGACTAGCATCATAAATTGTAAAAGGCCTTTTAATTTATGAAGGCAGTCAAAGGGTACAAACTTCTAGTTACAAGATAAATAAGTACTAGAGATGTAGTGTACAACATGATAAAAACAATGAACACCATGGCATGTTATACAGGAAAGTTATTAAGGGAGTAAATCCTAAGAGTTCTGCTCATCATAAAAAATTTTTTTCTCTATTTCTTTAGTGTTTTGTCTATAGGAGATGATGGATATTCATTAAACTTATTGTGGTAATCATTTCATCAGGTATGTAAGCCAAATCATTATGCTGAACACCTTAAACTTGTACAGTGCTGCATGTAAATCACATCTCAGTAAAACCAGGAGAAAAAAAAGGCCCTCCTAAAAAGATGTTCAACATTACTAGCTGTTAGGGAACTGCAAATTAATACCACAATAACACTACACAGCCATCAGAATGGCTAAAATAAAGAGTAGTGACACTACCAAATGCTGATGAGGATGCTGAGAAACTGGATCATTCATACATTTCTGGTGGGAATGTACAATGGCACAGCCACTACGGAAACCAGTTTGGCAGCTTCTTTAAAAACGGTACACACAAACTACCTTATAACCCAGAAATTTATCTGAGAAGCGAACACTATATTCACGCAAAAACCTGTAAATATAGTAACTTATTCATAACCACCAGAAACTGGAAACAGCCCAGATGTCCTCCAATGGGCGAATATTTAAACAAATTGTGGTACATTCACACCATGAAGTACTACTCAACAACAGAAAGGAATGAACTATGGATACATGCAGTAATCTGTATGATTCTCCAGAGAATCATGCTAACTGAAAACACGCCAATCCTAAAAGGTTACATTGAGAAAATTACAGAAATGAAGAACAGACTGGTGGTAACCAATTGTTAAGGAAGGGTAAGGGCAGGAAGGAAGTGGGTGTAGCTATAAAAGGGCAACATCAGGGATCCTTGCATAGATGGAAACGTTCTGTAGTTTGGTTGTGATACTTACCATAGTTTTGAAAGATGTTACCAGCAGGGGGGAAAATGAGTACATAGGATCATGCTGTGTTATTTCTTTCAGCTGCATGTGAATCTATAATTATCTCAAAATAAAAGTTTAAAAAAAGGTCACTTGGCTATTTAAGGTGGGCCAAACTCATCCATGGGACTTATTCTCCCATTAGGCCTAGTTTGAATAGGGCTGGATACAAACTAAATGCAAAACATTTGTCTCATAGTTCTTATCTTCCTCTATTGTCTGATGTCCAGATGCTTAAATATTATTATAGAACTATCAGCCCAAGCCAACACCAAGCCAATAAAAGTGCATTAAAAAAAAAAATAATAAGACCAAAGTCCTCATGGTAAACTTTGTACTTCTGGGATCTGCGTTTTGACCAAAAGGGGGTAACTGAGAAATTCTAATAAGGAAAATGATGTGATATTTAATTAAGGTAGAAGTGCCTGTAGAAGAATTCTGACAGATAATCCACAGAGGCAGCACACCACAGCTAAAATCATAAGGCTTTGGGGGGAAATCCATAAACAACCAAAATTTCTTTCTCTGATAACTCTGATCAATAAATAACATGGTCTCTTTACCTACGATGTAGCAATTCTTCATAGAGACTCATAGAGGGCAATTCATCATAATGTAGAGACTTTCTGCAGATACGCACTAGAAGATATGTTCAAAAAAATTCACTGCAGCAATGTGCACAATAGTAAAAAACTCTAAACAATCAAAATATCCATTAAAAAATTATAGATAGGGCTCCCCTGGTGGCGCAGTGGTTGAGAGTCCGCCTGCCGATGCAGGGGACATGGGTTCGTGCCCGGGTCCGGGAAGATCCCACATGCCGCGGAGCGGCTGGGCCCGTGAGCCATGGCCGCTGAGCCTGCGCGTCCGGAGCCTGTGCTCTGCAATGGGAGGGGCCACAACAGTGAGAGGCCCGCGTACCGCAAAAAAAAAAAAAAAACCATTATAGATAAATAAACTGGGGAACACTCTCACATGGAACGTATGCAGCAGTGAAAAAATGAGTACTAGCTAATGAAATTAAGTGTATTACTCTTAGAAACATAATATGTTTAGCAACACAAAAGATACAATTTTTTTGTAACTTACATTAAGTAGTAAAGCTATGAAAAGAGCAAGAGAATATTAAATACAAAGTTCAGAAGAATCATTATCTTTTCTTGGAGGAAAGGGCAGGAGCCAGTAGACAGCGAGAGAGAAGGAACCACAGAATCTGTGTATAAACTCTGCCTAAAACTTTGGCTGACTCCTAAATGACACATGCACAGGGCAGACTGCAAGCAGCCCAGCTAAAGATAAAAGAACTGATGTGAAACTGGTGCTCACAATTAAGAGAGTTTGTGGTTTGGGTCTCGTTTAGAAACATCTCAGAAAACAAAATGAAACAAACAAACAAGCATGCTTAGTCTTTTAGGTTGTTAGGTTGTATCATTGCCCTTCCAGAAAATAAATTTTTAAAAACATAGAGAACAAACGTATGGATACCAAGGGGAAAACGGGTGGGGGATGGGATGAGTTGGGAGATTGGGACTGACATACATACACTATTGATACTATGTATAAAGTAGATAACTGGTGAGAGCCTACTGTATAGCACAGGGAACTCTACTCAGTGCTCTGTGGTGACCTAAATGGAAGGGAAGTACAAAAAAGAAGGGATATATATATATATGTATCGCTGATTCACTTTGCTGTACAGTAGAAACTAACACAATATTGTAAAGCAATTATACTGCAGTAAAAATTAAAAAAAAACATTATGCTGTTACAAACTAACTTTTTTTTTGAGCCAGAGGAAGATATTGTTTACTAAGCACATGAGTTTACTAAGCACATAACACAGATAATAAGCAAAAGGAGTCCATCAGGTACAGATAAATCTTAACAACAAACACCAACTGGACAATGTGATACCAAGGTGAAAAACATTTTGATACATACCTGAATTACTTCATAAAGATGTACCTGAACACTCCCTAATAAAAGAAGATATTTTGTACTGTCATGTTGCATTAGTTCTAAGTAAATATTATTCTTCTCATCATCTTGACGTCGAGGAACCTTGATACAAAATACATACGAAAAGAAGCATTAAATTTTCAGTCTGAGTTTCAGACATAATTTATGAACAAATACATCCATAAAATACACTTTTTGAAACACCCATTTTTTTGGAAACACCCATTCTTTGGAAACACCCATTGCCTATACACTCTCTTCTTAACTCTATTCAAAAGTTTAGCCTAAATACTCTACTGAAACTACATTATCAAAGGTAGTCCAGTAACTAATATCCAACCCAAATAATCTAGGTAATCCAAACATTTAATACCAAAAGACATCCAACATCCTTTTCTGTCTTTTTTCTTTTACTTTTTGATAAAGTGTATATCATTGTCTCAGCTTGAAACTCTCTTCCAACCTTGAGCTTTGTAACACAATACCATCACTATAAGACCTTTAAAGTTCATATACTCTTTTGCTAATTTGAAATAGATCTCATGCCTCATACCCTAATATTCTAGGTGCCCTTAAAAACATTTTTTAATTGAGATATTATTGACATATCACACTGTATTACTTTTAGCTGTACAACATAATGATTTGATATTTGTATAAATTATAAAATGATCATCACTGTAAGTTTAGGTAATATCCATCATCACACAGTTACAATTATTTTCTTGTGATGAGAACTTTTAAGATCTACTCTCTTAGCAACTTTCAAATATATAATACATTATTGTTAACTACAGTCACCTTGCTGTACATTAGATCTCAAGGACTTATTTATCTATTTATCTTATAACTGGAAGTTTGCACATTTTGACCACCTTCATCCATTTCACCCACCCCCAAACCCCACCTCTGGCAACCACCAATCTATTTGTTCTCTTTAACTATGAGTTCATTTTTTTTTCCTTCTTTTTTTTTTGGCTGCACCACATGGCTTGCAGGATCTTAGTTCCCTGACCAGGGATTGAACCCGTGTCCTCAGCAGTGAAAGCACGGAGTCCTAACCCCTGGACCACCAGGGAATTTCCTCATTTTATTTTTTTAGATTGTCCATATAAATGATCATACCATATTTTTCTTTCTCTGACTTATTTCACTTAGCATAATGCCCAAATCCAGCCACGCTGTTGCAAATGGCAGGGTTTTTTCTTTTTTATGGCTGAGTAAGATTTCATTGTGTATATATACCACATTTTTCTAATCCATTCACTGTGGATGGACACTGAGGTTGTTTCTACGTCTTGGCTATTGTAAATGCTGCGATGAACATGAGGGTGCAGATACCTTTTTGAGACCATGATTTCATTTTCTTTGGATAAATACCCAGAGGAGGAATTGCTAGATCATCTGGTAGTTCTAGTTTTAATTTTTTGAGGAACCTCCATATTTTTTTCCACAGTGGCTGCAACAATTTACATTCCTATCAACAGTGCACAAGTGTTCCCTCTTCTCCACATCCTCACCAACATTTTACCAGGTGTGGGGTGATATCTCACTGTGGTTTTGATTTGCATTTCTCTGATGATTACTGATGTTGAGTACCTTTTCATGGACCTGTTAGCCATTTGTATGTTTTCTTTGGAAGAATGTCTATTCAGATCCTCTACCCATTTTTTAATTGGATTGTTTGGGGTTGTTTTTTCTACTGAGTTGTAGTACTTTATATATTTTGGACATTAACCTCTTATCAGATATATGATTTGCAAATATTTTACTGCATTCTGTAGGTTACATTTTCATTTTGTTGATCGTTTCCTCAGCCGTACAAAAGCTTTTTAGCTTAATGTAGTCCCACTTATTTTTGCTTTTGTTGCCTTTGCTTTTGGGGTCAAATCCAAGAAAAATCATTGCTAAGACCAATGTCAAGGAATTACCGCCTATGTTTTCTTCAAGAAATTTTATGGTTTCAGGTCTTATGTTCAACTTTTTAATCTATTTTGAGTTTCTTTTTATGTATGGTATAAGATAGTGGTCCAGTTTCATTCTTTTGCCTGTGGCTGTCCAGTTTCCCCAACACCATTTACTGAAGAAACTGCCCTTGCCCCATTGTATATTCTTGGCTCCTTTATCATAAATTAATTGACCATATATATGTGGGTTTATTTTGGGGCTCTCTATTCTGTTCCTTTGAGCTACATGTCTCTTTTTATGCCAATAGCATATTGATTACTATAGTTTTGTAATATAGTTTGAAATCAGGAAGTGTGATGCCTCTAGCTTTAATCTTTCTCAAGATTGCTTTGGTTATTTGGGGTCTTTTGTGGTTACAACAAAATTTAGGATTGTTTTCCTATTTCTGTAAAAAGTGCCATTGGAATTTTGATAGAGATTGCATTGCTTTAGGTAGTATGAACATTTTAACAGCATTAATTCTTCCAATCCATAAGCATGGAATACCTAGCCATTTGTGTCTTCTTCAAATTCTTTTATCAATGTCATATAGTTTTCAGTGTACAGGCCTTTCACCCCCTTGATTAAATTTATCCCTAGGTATTTTATTCTTTTTGATGCAACTGTAAATGAGACTTAATTTTTCTGAGTTTGTTTTTAGTGTATAGAAATGCAACTGGTTTTGTATATTGATTTTGTATCCTGCAATTTTACTGAATTTATTAGTTCTAACAGGTTTTTGTGTGTGTGTGGAGTCTAGATTTTTCTATATATAAGATGTCATCTGCAAATAGAGACAGTTTTTCTTCTTCCTTTCTAATCTGGATGCCTTTCATTTTTCCTTCCTAACTGCTCCAGCTAAGACTTCCATTATCATGTTGAATAAAGTGGCAAGAGTGGGCAGCCTTGTTTTGTTCCTAATCTTAGAGGAAAAGCTTTCAGTTTTTCACCATTGAGTATAATATTAGCTGTGGGTTTTTCATATATGGCCTTCATTATGTTGAGGTACATTCCCTTTTTACCCACTTTTTTGAGAGTTTTGTCATGAATGGATGTTGAATTTTGACTGCATCTATTGAGATGATCATGTAATTTTTATCCTTTTTATTAATGTGGTGTATAATATAGACTGATTTGGAGATGTTGAACTACCCCTGCATCCCTGGAGAAAATCCTACTTAATCATATTAATGTAACATGTATGATTCTTTTAATGTATTGCTGAATTTGGTCTGCGAATCATTTGTTGAGGATTTTTGCATCCATGTTCATCAGGGATATTAGCCTGGAATTTTCTTGTAGTGTCCTTGTCTGGTTTTGGTATCACAGTAATGCTGGCCTTGTAACATGAGTTTGGATGTGCTCCCTTCTCTTTTATTTTTTGGAAGAGTTTGAGAAAGACTGCTATTAATTCTTCTTTAAATATTTGGTATGCCTTAGAAGCAAACACGAGTATTCCTTAGAAGCGCTACTTTCACCCTAGACCTCAAAAAAGGTCCACAAATAATTTTCCAAGGAAAATGAGCATACCAAATGCATACCAACGTTTCCTTCATTGATCACTTTCACCAATGATCTGTCCATTGGTGAAAGTGGGGTGTTAAAGTCCCCTACTATTATTGTGTTACTGTTGATTTCCCCTTTTATGGCTGTTAGCACTTGCCTTATGTATTGAGGTACTCTTATGTTGGGTGCATAAATATTTACAATGGTTATATCTTCTTCTTGGATTGATCCCTTGATCATTACGTAGAGTCCTTGTCTCTTGTAATAGTCTTTATTTTAAAGTCTATTTTGTCTGATATGAGAATTGCTACTCCAGCTTTCTTTTGATTTCCATTTGCATGGAATATCTTTTTCCATCCCCTCACTTTCAGTCTGTATGTGTCGCTAGGTCTGAAGTGGGTCTCTTGTAGGCAGCATATATATGGGTCATGTTTTTGTATCCATTCAGCCAGTCTTTTGGTGGGAGCTTTTAATCCGTTTACACTTAAGGTAATTATTGATATGTATGCTCCTATTACCATGTTCTTAATTGTTTTGGGTTTGTTATTGTAGGTCATTTCCTTCTCCTGTATTTCCTGCCTAGAGCAGTTCCTTTAGCATTTGTTGTAAAGCTGGTTTCATGGTGCTGAATTCTCTTAGCTTTTGCTTGTCTGTAAAGGTTTTAATTTCTCCCTCAAATCTGATGGAGGTCCTTGTTGGGTAGAGTAATCTTGGTTGTAGGTTTTTCCCTTTCATCACTTTAAAAATGTCCTGCCACACCTTTCTGGCTTACAGAGTTTCTGCTGAGAAATCAGCTGTTAACCTTATGGGGATTCCCTTGTATGTTATTTGTTGCTTTTTCCTTGCTGCTTTTAATATTTTTTCTTTGTATTTAATTTTTGATAGTTTGATTAATATGTGTCCTGGCATGTTTCTCCTTGGATTTATCCTGTATGGGACTCTCTGTGCTTCCTGGACTTGATTGACTATTTCCTTTCCCATATTAGGGAAGTTTTCAACTATAATCTCTTCAAGTATTTTCTCAGACCCTTTCTTTTTCTCTTCTTCTGAGAACCCTATAATTCGAATGTTTGTGTGTTTAATGTTGTCCCAGGAGTCTCTGAGACTGTCCTCAATTCTTTTCATTCTTTTTTCTTTATTCTGCTCTGCGATAGTTATATATATTTCCACTATTTTATCTTCCAGGTCACTTATATGTTCTTCTGCCTCAGTTATTCTGCTATTGATTCCTTCTAGAGAATTTTTAATTTCATTTATCGTATTCATCAATGTTTGTTTGCTCTTTAGTTCTTCTAGGTCCTTGTTAAACGTTTCTTGTATTTTCTCCGTTCTATTTCCAAGATTTTGGATCATCTTTACTATCAATACTCTGAATTCTTTTTCAGGTAGACTGCCTATTTCCTCTTCATTTATTTAGTCTGGTGGGTTTTTACCTTGCTCCTTCATCTGTTGTGTATTTCTCTGTCTTCTCATTTTGCTTAACTTACTGCATTTGGGATCTCCTTTTCACAGGCTGCAGGTTTGTAGTTCCTGTTGTTTTTGGCGTCTGCTCCCAGTGGGTAAGGTTGGTTCAGTGGGTTGTGTAGGCTTCCTGGTGGAGGGGACTAGTGCCTGTGTTCTGGTGGATGAGGCTGGATCTTGTCTTTCTG